ATACGTATTAATAAATAGGTTTATATATATAAATATATACACATACATATGTATACATAGATAATAAATAAATAAATATAAATCTGTTGCTAGAATTGGTTATCAATAACCACAAAGTGTTAGGTAATGCTTCTTGACGTCACTTTTGAAACTTTCCAAAGTTTGTGCTCGTTGAATTTGGAGTGGAAGTTCATTCCATAACCTTATGGCTTGGCTCGTAAAAGAATATTTCATAAATTTTGTTCGAAATGAACATGGTTCTAGAATTAGTTCGCCGGCTGACCGAAGAACTCTATCAGGTCGATCATGACCAAGAAACTTAAAGTTTTCCTTTAAGTAGCTTGGAGTCAAAGGATTGAACAACACACAGTACAGAAGAGATACAGTTTGCAAATTCCGGCGAAAGCGAATGGGTAACCACTTGAGCTGTAAACGATATTCGGATACATGATCATATTTGCGCAAACCAAATATGAACCTAATTGCAATATTTTGAATTCGCTCAAGTTTGTTCAGTTGGTCTTCAGTTAAATCGAGGTAACTTGCGTCCGCATAATCGAGAATAGAGAGAAGTAAGGATTGTGCTAACATAATCTTGGTGGGAATGGGGAGAAAAGAACGTAAACGACGAAGTGAACCCATAGTAGCAAACACCTTTTTGCTCACTTGTTTTAACTGCTGCGACCACGACAAGGTAGAATCTAGATATATCCCCAGATTTTTTACAGATTTACTGTAGGGTATGACAACGTCATTTAATGTCACCGAGGGTAGGTTGTTCCAGTCAACTCTGGAGACCATCCCTCCACCACCAATAACTATAGCCTGGGACTTGAACGGATTAATTTTTAGACCATAACGCTGACTCCACTGGTTTATCGCCGCTAAGTCATTGTTGATGGTGGCAACAGCAGAAGGCAGATTTAACAAAGTTGACTGAGTGTAGATTTGGAGATCGTCTGCATACATGTGATAGAGAGAAGCAATATTTTGAGAGATAGAATTAATGAATATAGCAAAAAGTAAAGGAGACAGCACACCACCTTGAGGCACGCCAGCCCGTAATTCGCACCAAGATGAGAACTCATCTTCGATGCGAACACGCTGCCGTCGGCCGTAAAGATAACTATGAAACCAGCCAATCACCGGAGGAGATATGTTAATAGAACGTAACACACTCAATAAGATGTCAAAATCAACAGTGTTAAACGCATTGCTAAAATCAAGCAATACCAACACAGTGAGCTGTTTGTTATCCATACCTCGTCGAATGTCATCGGTAACTTTAACCAACGCTGTTGTCGTACTATGACCCGATCGGAAACCAGATTGGAGAGGATCCAGGATACAATTTCTATTTAGGTAGAGATTTAACTGAAAGAAAACTAGTTTCTCCAGGAGTTTGGATAAAAACGGGAGAATTGAGATAGGACGAAAGTCGGAAAAATGCAAAGCATGGGCTTTTTTAGGGAGAGGCGTTACAAGTGCACTTTTCCAAACATCAGGAAATTTTGAAGAGGAGATGGATTTATTCAAGATATGGGTGAGGATAGGAGTAACAAATTCTAGGATAGGTAGGATCATGTTACGACTAACATTGTCATCACCCACGGCATTGGACGAGATGGACAAAATGTTCTTTTTAACATCACTATCAGTGAAAGGAGAGAAATTAAACGGTGAAAAATCAGGAGTTGGTATTGAAGAAAGAATACTCAGAGTCCGGTCTTTATCTGAGCTATTTAATGTGCTAGAGCAGGCGAAATATTTGTTAAGGAATTCAACATCAACATTATGATGAGGAGAATTATTGGATGTTTTACCAACTCCAAGAGACTGTAGAAACTTCCAAACTTTGGCTGCGTCGCCGTTTTCGACGGATTTGTGAATATGGCGTCTTTGTGCATCCCTACACAATGTATTGCAGCGATTCCGTACTTTATTATAATATCGTAAATTTTTCTCAGATTTATCAGCTTTTAACTTACTTTTAGCAAATCCTTTTTTTATAATAAGTTTTTTTAAACTATCCGTTAACCAAGGTGCAGGTAAATGTTTCATTTTTATTGGTTTTACTGGGGCATGGATGTCATAAAGTTGGATAAGAAAGGAGTTAAATAACTCGACTTTCAAGTCGACTGTTGAAGCATTTTCAACAGCTGACCAATCCATGCGACTAGCATCTTCCAGAAGACGTTCTTTGTCCATTCCACCAAAATTACGTTGCAGAAGGATTCTCGATTTTGCTTTAGGAGGACGGACTTTGTATGTAAGAAACAAGAGATCATGATGAGAAAAGAGATCAGCGTCATGCTGGCCATGCTTCAGGACAAAATCTGGAGAGGATACAATAATTAAGTCAAGTAGTGATGGAGTACAGTCAGGCATTTTATGCGTAGCAGATAGTGGTAATATATGTAGATTACATGCCTCGGTTAATGATTTTAGCTTTTCACACCGATAGTCACCCTTGAGTAGGCATGTGTTAAAGTCACCCATGATTATAGTGTGAGTATATAATGGGATTAAATTTTCTAATAAATATTCGAAAGAAGAGAAATAGTCAATATGAAGAGAAGGACTGTAACAAACGCCAAGAAGAATTTTCGTATTGGATAGGGTTACTTCAATGAAGAGATGCTCAGCCGCATTAGAAGGAGATGGTTGGGGGGACAGGCTTACTACCGCAAAAGGTAAATAAGAACGGAGATAGATTGCCACACCTCCACCCCCCCTTCCAATACGGTCGTTGCGAATAAGATGGAATCCTGGTAATGAATAAGAAGTGGATGGCAAACATGGTTTCAACCAAGATTCAGAGACTAGAATGGCGTGAATGTTATGGGATTCAAAGGACGCAAGCATGTCGGGATAATGAGCCGGAATGCTTTGGGCGTTTATATGAATTACATTAAAGTTTTTCAGGGAATCTGAGAAATATGAATTAAGTGCTACATTTATCGGAATTGAAGATGTTGTACTGTGGAAGCTGAGTTCACTAGATGCATTATCATTTGACGACACAGACCGGAAATCGTCAGAATCATTACCTACATCATAATTATCTAACAACATAGTAAAATGAAATAAAATATATAATATATATAATATATAAATATAAAACTAAATAGTTAAATTAAATATATAAGTAAGTACCTAAACAGATCTCTATCCCGCCAGCAGTCTGAAAGAGATGAATCAAAAATAATAATAATAATAATAGATGTTTCAGAATAACTTAAATACAAAAGAGACAATTTTAAACAAAACAAAACTACCAAAAACTGTAAACAAATAGCATTTTACAAATAAAAATATGTAATGAGCACAAAGAGAATTGTTATAGAGATGTTGCTTTGTGATAAGAAAAGAAGTCAAAAATTCCATAAGGTACGGCTGTATGACTATGTGACCTTTGCCTACACCGAAGAAAGAAATAAAAATGTGCAACTGTTATCTAATGTCATGCCAATTCACTTATTGTTTGTTTACATCGAAATGGTTTTTTATATATAAGTTACAAGTAACTACCTCACATCGTATATATAAAAGAAAAATGGTAATATATATTAATAAAAAATAAATTAAAAATTTTTCAATAAAAGAATGTAAACAAACCAGAAATACGGTAGTCGCACAAGATAAAACAGATTTAACCAGCTCCAAAAAAGGATTCATTTTTTACCAATTCTCTTGGTTCTTACTTGAGCAGACCTGGAGTCTTTCACCACACTTGGTACCGAGGTTGCAGCAGATGTGGCTTGAGTTACCGATTCAGAGGTCGAAATAGCATCAAGATCAAGCCTAGAATGGATACGATGGCGTACTTGATCAGGTCCTAGTACGAAGATGATGCCATCCCTCGTCCAGCACCTTGAAACTCCGAAACGTTGGCGCGCCGCTTGGAATGTAGTATGGCGACCCTTTGTAAGAAATTCGGACAATGTAATCCCAGTGCCTTTCAAATTTTTCTTTGCAAGCCATATCTTCTCTTTTGTCCCATAGTCTCTAAATTCTACAAGCACAGCCCGGGGTTTATCAGTGCCAGGTTGACCAAGACGATGTGACCGGCCTATCCAATCAGTGGTAATACCAGGGACTTTCAAGTGCTCGGATAGAACCTTGACAACACTAGAGGATGTGTTCTCTTTCTTGTCTTCGGCTATACCATGAACAAGCAGGATTTTTCTTCGAGATCTCATCTCCATGTTATCATATTGTTGAGCTAATAGTTCAACTTGCAGTTGCAAATTTTCTAAAGCAGTTAAAACAAAGCACCGGAATGAATTAAATTGGTGATTAATATTTGAAGTGGGGCTTGTTGCTGGAATTGAACTCTTGAGATCTTTTTGGAACTCGGCCATCCTTAAGTTGAAATGTTCAGTGAGGTCCGCAACAGATTTCTTAATTGACTCCATTTGTTTTTAAGGTTATAACAATGTGGTAGCGAAGTGAATGTGCTAAAGAGTTCAAGTTATTCTAAATATATTTCAGACTTGACTGGCAGGAGTTTATATATCACAGGAACATTAAATTTATATTCAAAAGTCCCTAGATATAATATTATACAAATTAAAGATTTCAGTGTATTAAAATATGTCTAACTTAATCAACTCCTACCCGCGATAAAAAGATATACATATAACATACAAGATGTAGCCTAACGCACCCTAGGATATTATTATCTCCCAATAATTAAAGTAATAATATAGCTGCAGCTAGTAAAAAAAGGCCAATACCAATACCGTAAAATGTACGTAGGTATCTTTGTATAAAAATTAAACGTTGTTACCTCAAATGCCTAATATAGAATGCTCTACATAACATTAAAACCGAACCACAACAGTAAATACGCTAATGCAAATATAGGCAAGAACGTAGTCCTTACTATAAAAAGACACAGAGAATTCTTAGGCAGAAACGGAGCCTTACCACATATGTATTTGATTTAATCAATTGATTACAGGTGTAGAAGTTCTAACTAGGCTTTATCGTTCCAGGCAACCAATGGGACCAGTTCTGCCAAGCGAGAGATACTATTTCGAGAAGTGTTAACTTCGCACTTGATTCTGTTGGTAGTAGCACATGGAAAAAGGATAACAGTAAAGGGTAATTGTTTTTTAAATATTATATGCAGATACAAGTGACGGGAAAACCCTCTCAGAAATGAGGGGAGGCCTGTGCCCAGCAGTGGGACGTATATAGGCTGTAACTTTACTTTACTTTACTTTACAAGTGACGGCTCTTTCCATCGAATCAGTGTCGCATCAACTGTTGCTTATACTACACTGATACGAAATAATAGCGTTTTGTAATAGCCAATTAACAAGTACACAGGCATAATCCTCTTCTAATTTCTGAAAGGGTTGATGATGTCATTTCTCTGTCCTGATTTCCCTTAAAACCGTAGATGTGCCTTTTTATTAGTTAAATGTTATTGCTAAACCGCAATACTGATAAAACTTATTAATGATAAAATAACAAATACTCATTTTTGCACTTGATTTTCATACTTATCCGGCTAAAGGGACCAAAAATGTATAACAGCAAATGAAGGTATGCGACGTACTCAAATTTTATTATTGAACAACATTACGATAAAAAGAGTTTATAAGAGTTTATTGTTATCAGATCACAGTTTAACATTATGTGTATAAAAATAATTTATTTACATTTTATATTGAGAACATTAGTTTTAGGTAAGGTCAAGTTTTTTTAGGACATAGTTTTTTTTTAAACCTGTATGCATTTTTAAACACAATGTCAAATCAAGTTCGCACTCCACTCATAAAGGCGCCTACCGTCAGCGGTATGTTACATCTCGTAATTTTTCAAGGCTTTCACGAAAAGTATCACTATTACTGATAGCCCTGTTTTAGCACAGTAAAGTCAGCGTCATACAGTTTTGACCAAGTTCTGGCTCGACTTAATTAATTATAGATACCGGATTCTATTAACTATTTCATAATTACACCGGAATTGAGTGGTGTGTTTCTGGTTACTTGAATAACTTTTTCTTCTTTAGCCTGTAAGGGCCCACAGTCGTTACGCTTACCGGGCCGATTGACAACCGCAGCACTAGACGTTTCGCACTTTTTTCGCTGCTCCCCGTCGCCGATCAGGAAGCATTAAGATTTTTCTGGCATATCCCACAGTCGCCTCTTACGATACGTACGGGACGAAATTGTTTTTTTCATAGTATAAGGGTGACAAACGACGTTGATCTGGCGGTAAGTGGATGCTGTGGCCCATAGACATCTACATTTATCCTCGATTAAGAATCAAAATGCTGATGCGTTATCACCCCTGAAAACTAAGATAGAATGCCTCGTTTCCAGTACAAAAGAGTCTGCGGATCTCTACACTCACACAGCAGTATTAAGCTGCTATGTTATGCTGGTATTCTGTGAGAGCATGGTCCTTCCCCGGTTGAGCCGACCCATTCATGCTACAAGCATAATATAGCTGCAAAGTGGCTCTACCACATACAAAAATGGATGGATTTATTCTTTTACCGTAACTTCATGGTATTTCTTGTTTTAATTAATTAAAATATTTCAATTATAGGACTTCGAGTATTGCCGACACACATAAAGAGCCGAAAGTAGATCAATCCACTGATACGCTAAGTATCGAAGAGTTCATTAGAGATCTTATACGGAAAGAATTCCAGCATTTGTTGCATGAGATATCTGATGACGCTTCCACTACGACGTCCGCTCGAAAGGAAGAAATACTCAATAAGGGCGTGTCGAACATTCTAGAAAGTTTGAAGACCAGCGACGAACCTGAACCAACTAAAAGAGAATCGATTAAATCGTTCTCCAGATTAAAAATTAACGGCAATAACAAACCTCTATTGCAAATAACTTTTGGTCGGTCAGGTGAGAACAGTCTGAAGGTGCTGGACAATTGCGTAAATGTGACTTTTTGCGATGGGGGCTCTGTTGTGAAGGAAAACGTACAATCTGAGGAGGACACATTGACCCCTGATGATATTCAAGTCAACTCATTAAAGAGGTGTCAAGCTTTCAATGCTATTCAGGTGAGTTTATGTTTATAAGGTGAATTAATACGTTTATGACGCTCATAAAGATATGAAGAACTAATTAGCGCATTCTATCCAAATAATAAATACATCAGTATGGTATAAGGATATTTAAATAACACATGAATTCCAAAGAGTATGTCAATATTTTCTTAAGACATGTATGTATATATCCAAGAAAACTATTTAACCTCTCAACTCCCTAGCGGTCCGCTAGGGATTTGACGGATCATGGCCGCGGTTTCATGAGGTCGCACTCATCCACAGCAATTTAAGCCATAAAAATTTCTATATAGAGACTACTTTTCTATGAAGAAGTTTGGCATTATATAATCAATATGAAATACTCAATCCTCTAACGCAATAAAAAAACTGTTATCCTATGAATATTTATTTATAATCTAGGTTCATGTCGTACGCCATTTTCGCGTGAATGTTATTGTGTTGATTTTTGGATTTTTCTGGTGTTTTATTAGTGTTTTACTTTAAAATAGTAATGAAAGTTTTTGTGTAAATATAATTTATCTTTTTACGTAAATAATTTCGAGCAATATATATTGAAATAATTGTGATTTTCACGCTGCCGACATTCGCTTGGTTTTTTTTTTTGTTATCAAAATACAATAAAATCTTTTTGTAATGAAGTAAAATCTGACTTTTGTTTAGACCAGCTAAACTTCTTCATAGAAAATTCTTCATAGTCTTTAAATGTAAGTTTTAATTGTTTTAAGCGCTGTGGGTGGGTGCGGTGGCATGCGACCGCTCGGGTCGCATCCAAGGCAAAGGCTAAAAACCAATGCAGTCGCATGCGCCCGGCAAATGCCGGGCGCATGCGACTGCATTGGATTTTTATGGTGCTTGAAGGGTTAATAATGTACCATTTTTTACATAAATATTGTCTGTATAAGATTTCAGATTTTTATGCAGAGAAAAAAAAAACGCAGTACATGATAATAATTTAATTTTTTTAACTAAAACTAAAGTTAAATAAAAACCTTTTATAGGCGGCTATTAAAAGAGTCAATAATCAGTAAGAGCACCCATGACGTTCATAACGCAGCTGTCGTTGCAGATGCCATACTCAGAATGAAGTTGTCAATATCTTGTTAAGGAATATTGCCCCAGGTGTTACTGATATGCACAGAAAGTTGTTTTTCTGTAACCAGATTTTCAGGAAAATCCCTCTGAGTTCTTAAGTACATATCCCAAGCATGCTCAATGACATTTAAATCTGGTTGTTGCGCTGGCCATTCTAGGGCAGGAAATTTTGACCCAAATGGGTAAAAATTTCCTGCTTGTCTTGCCTACCGCTAGAATCAATAATCTTGCCTCATCGACTATACTGACTGACTGTCAGGCAAGGCTATTGGTTCTAGCACCTCATCACGGTATTTTTAAGCCGTCATAGTGCCCTGCATCAAACGAGATCTATTATTCCACCAAAAAAAATCCTGTCCACACTATAATTGTACCACCATGGTATAGACGAATTCTTGAGGGAGTGGAAGCCGGCTTATAAGACCAGAAACTCTCCAAATACGTACTTACTCTCCTCGAATCAGGATGAAAACCAAATCGGAATTTATGGGTGAAATACATCAACAACCATTGACGAGGTTCCTGGTTCACGTGTTTTCTAGCCCATTGCAGTCTTCGTCCACGATTTCCTCCTCTTAGAGCTGGAACCCAAAGTGATCTAAGAACATGAATTGTCACTTGGATTGTCACTGAAACAACTTGTGTTTTTCTTGCTCTGTTCATATTAAATTAAAACATTGGGAAATAGTGTTCAATCAAAGTGCTATTTGTGTGGTGTTTGTACGTTGTTAATTGATAAATATAGTAAAACTGTGATTTTTAATTTCGTTTATCTTGTGTTTAAATAGTGTTTGACATTGGATAGAATCTTTTTTTTTACATTTTACTACCCTCTTAAGATCTGAGATAATGGGCTGTCTAAAAGTGACCATAAACTTTACTGCGTTACCATATAAAGAAAAAATTTACTACTTAAACCATACTACCATTTGGGAAAAATAAATCAAAATGGCAGTGTTTCAAGAGTAACAGTCATATTGACGATAAGACCCCAAAAATCAAGTAAAAAGGCTGCACGAGAGTAATATGTACTAAATGCAGTGGAATAACTACAACAGAAATACGTGTTGTTGCACTTCAAACACCTAAATCATCATACCTATGTTATGAATGCGAGGAGGGGCTGAGGCAGATTTCAGAACTTCGCAGACTTGTTACAGAACTTCAACAGCAGGTTCAAGAGTTAAAGAAAGACAGATAAACATAGTGAACTTGTACACTTTAATAAATGAAATTTAGGAAAGAAAAATAAGTAATCTTAATCTTATTGTATTTGGAATACCTGAATTCTAACAAACGAGCACACAGTCCACCTGATGGTAAGTGGTAGCTGTGGCTCATAGACATCTACATCTATCCTAGATTACGAATCAAAATGCAGATGCGTTGTCGTACCCGTGAGGACTAAGATGGCATGCCTCGTTTCCAGTAAAAAGGATCTCCGGTTCTCTACGCTCACGAAACACAGCAGCATTAAGCTAACGTTGGAGTTTTGGCGGGAACTTGGCCGACGACGGACTGTCGCTCCTGTTTTGTCGCTTGAATAATGGTTTGAAGTGAATTTTAATTCGTAAAAGTGATGTGATTTTGTGAATTAAGAGTCTGCGCGTGTGAACTGTAAGAGAAAACGACGAAACAAGTGCTTTGATGTTGATATAAACCTCAAGTTAATTTGATCGCATGGGCGCCTTATGAACTTGAGTGGCTGTCGTCATCAACAGTCCGCTGGGTTGAGCTGTCGTCAAAATCTACCAAAAACTTCGCAATGTGACGCATCAGCACATTGCGAAGAAAAAATATAAAATGAAGATTCTGAAATAAATGATAGGCTCAGAAGGGCTAGTACCCAGAGCCGTAAAGCCAGTTGAATAAAAAAAACGACGGGTTGCACTCCGGGAGTGCCGGCAGAAGTGAAAACTTGAATATTAACGTTGTGCATTTTTGATATTTTGGAATGATTAGGGAATAATCTAAGATGTTTTATAGGTACAGATACCATGTACGCGCGCCTAAAACGCTTCCATTTAAAAGGCGCCAATATTGGCGTATTCACGTACGTTCACTGCGAACATACGTCACGCATCGGTTTTTTTAATTTCGCAAAATGACTGTTTGTGCTGTGAAATAATGTAAAAACTACTCTTGGAAAAAAGATAAAGATAAGAACATCACTTTTCATAAATAAGTTTACAATATTCTGGTGTATTTATTTGTATAACAATACGAAAGCTAAATGTCAATACAAGTAATAATGCAGCGCAATAGTATTCGAGTGTTGCCTAGCCTATGAAATGTTTTTACCATTTTTAAATGTCATGATCAGAAACCGAACCGAACCGAAAAGTTTATCTGTATAGGGGTTTTAAACGGTCTAATTTTACGGGTTTTAGCCAACCTATATAGTTAAACCATTTTAAGGCTTAGGGTTGAATTATATCTGACTGCACGGAATCGCACTTTCCTGTGCTTCTATCCCTTTTGGTCACTTAGAACCGTCATTTACTAGAGCGAGAAAGAGATATACATAAACATCTACCGTACTTTTTTATTTATTTTTAACTGTTACATTAATTATAGTTTTATTACTTATCTTCCATATTTGAGTGCGATGTTCGTGCCTACATAAAACACACATAACCAACCATATCCTCATACACACACGCACACAAATGCACACGCCTCGCATACACTTTATACATTCGTGGAATCAATAGGTATGTCAATATGAATAAAATATAAAATCTCCCACATTTTTGGGTAATCGATTCGCACTATTATTACCGAAGTCACACACATGAATCAAAAACTCGCGTTACTATGAGCGGTGCGATGTGTTAGCAACACGGTATCTGGACCTATAAAATATCTTTGGGAATAATTTTGCACGAATTGCTTTAATTATCACACATGAACGTTCGCGCAACCGCCCTCCGCCGCCTAAACGAAACAGCAGGCGCAGGCATACATTTTCGCCGCGCCGTTGAAAGAGAGGGGGATACTTCCTCTCCTACGCCGCGCCGACTGTCTCTCTCTCTCTCCATCCGTCTTACTTACGAATTTTCGATCAGGGTCACGTGTTCTGACGCGAGTTTAACATTTTTTTAGCCGCTATGTACCGTATGTACAACGCCGCTAACATTTACACTGGTATTCTGTCAGAGCGCGGTCCTTCCCCGGTCGAGCCGACCCATTCGTGCTACAACTATACTACTAATATAACTGTAACATGACTCTACCACGTATAAATTTTCTTGAAATTAATACTCATAAACCTGCTTTATCACAGTCGTACAGTATAGACAGTCTTATACATATAAACGCTCTTTCGGTTGGACAGAAGAGAAAGTAAAAGGGAAGGAGTAGCAATGTATGTTGCACATGACATTAACATTGTTTCGGTTATATCAAAAGTGAATAAATTATATTATAATTCTTTGGTTGAGGCAATGTGATTATATATACGCTTTGGATATTTAGATTTAATTTTAGCTTGTGTGTACCGTCCTCCCTCATGTTTTAACAAGTACTGAAATATTGTTTAACACCATAGAAAAGGCAGCTTCAAAGCAGAGAGTAACTCTTGTCCACTTAAATGTCGACGTTGCATTGCAACAAAATGTCAAATTATGACAATCAACCCAAGTTGAATGAAAAAGATGTTTGAATAGCGGTTTTCAACAAAAAAAAAAACCAGAGTACAAAACTCGCTCCCTCTAGTTCAACTCAATTTTTACCGCTAACACATTTTATTTTTTCTTTTATTTAAAATAGGAATCAATATGGAATAAATGACACGATTTGATATTAAAAACTTTTTATAGTGGCCAGTACTTTTTAATTGGTCAATGTTATTAAAAATATCCCTATACCGTGTTGATTGCGAATAGAATGCTTCCTTGAGACGAACAAAAAGCTATGATAATCCATTTTAATTTTCTGTGTTAAATAAGATAATTTTTTATATAAACGTTTTGAATATACTTATACATAAATGATGTAATCGGTGAGATTTTAGTTATTAGCTTATAATTTTTATATACTTATTAATTAATTACAGAATTAATTAATAAGTATATAAAAATTAAAAATTAGTTTCTTGATAAAAATCATGTTATTATACAGATAATAACATGATTTTTATCAAGAAACTAAAGCCCACGCGAAAGGTGTTTGATGTAAAAAGAAGTTTTCAGTTGCTCGTTGCAACCTAAAACAGATAGAATGTATGCCTCGATATTATATTATGTATATTTTTTTATTCTATCTCTCTCTCTCTCTCTCTCTCTCTCTCTATCTGTCTCGATATTATATTTTTTATTAGGTTAGTATGTTTAATATATGCGTTAAATATTGGTATTTTACGTTCTCCATACAGGAAGCTCGCAGCACTGAAGACTTGTATATTGATGACGACCTCTCCACGCACATGCAAGAAAATTTCGGGGGTAAGGTAAAATTAATACCCCTGCACGGCTCCCTACACGAGATATTGTGTGAGAAGGAAGACGACTGCTGTCTCATCAAAGTGAAGCAGGAGAACGGCTGCGACACGATCTACTTCAGATGCGATAACTCAGACACGGAATCGAGGGATGCCATTGACGGAGCCGTCGAAGGCAGGCCACAGGACACCGTTGTATTCAAACGAAGTATTTCACTTATAGAGGAACGCATACAACGCGTCATACCCAAAGAAAAACGGCCTATCATTATCAAGAAGAAACCGGATATAAAAAGTCGACCTAAATCGGAAATTTTCTTACCGAAAATCACTAAAGAGTCGCGCGTTATGAGTAGCAGTAGCCCCTCACTTATCATGAAGGACGGCAAAAGTGAAGAGGTTGAAGTTAACATAGAAAATGTAATGTGTTACCAAGACTCATCTTCGGACGAGTGTCTGAAGTGTTCCGATATTGATGACTTTGAACTGATCGAAAGGGAGATAGAAGAAGATATTGCCAATAGTAACTTGACCTCTTTGAACTGTGGATGCTTGGAGAAGATATCGGAGGAAAATTTATCAATTATTAACGAAGAGGTCACCGAGAAGAACTGATTTTGAATAAACAAATTCGACGATCGTTTTAATAAAATTTCGCAGACATACTGATTTTTTGTACCATTACTACTAAGTTAAAAAGCTTATTTATTGGTCAAGTAGAGTTTTGTTATTAATAGAAATTTGATGAAAAAGATCAGTTTATATGGGCAAGTCTAAATAAACCGTCTTCTCTGTTTTAACATAATCTATGTCATTCTCTTTGCAATCTTTTATTTATGTTGAATAAAATTTGTTCAGCATAATTTAGATTTTAATAATGTAGATCTTATTAAAATATTTTTGAAATTCTTAATGATCATTTCAGTATTTATATCTTGTTATAAATACTAAAAATCGCTTCAATGTTCTTGCCATTGTTACATTTATTTTGATTCCGTCCTACTCGCATTTAGAGAATCCAAAGATCTTAAATATTTTATAATAGAATTTCTTGTGTTTCTTATATTTTAGTTTACTATAATATTTTTAATTCATAAAATTAGAACAAGGCTATGTGATTTTTAGATTAAGTAGCACATAACATTCCACTGTTGTGATGTCTAGGATAGTTACGTACTTAAGATTTTTTTTAAATTATAGTAAGTTGATACTTATATTTTCGCACAATTATTTTATATTCATTTCATCTATTTCATTTTAAAAATCTTTCAGTCCTTGTTAACTAATCTTTTTTTCAAGTACTTAGAAATATTACTAAGCTTTCAAAATGGTAAACTAATTAGATTGTTGATCAATTGATTTTAACAGTAACAAGTTTTTTTAGGTTATATTCAATAGAATCAATAGATCAAGGAGGAAAGACTAAAGTTTTTTTTTAAATATTTTATATATTGTTCATCTTCGAGTGATTTGCATGTACCAAAGCTGTTTATTATAGCAGATATACGTTTTTACTTTGTTACACTGTTTTCTGAAGGATAATTTTGAATCATTTTGTGTTACAATCATGAACCAAACGTTTTAAAAATGTTTGATACTGTTATTTGTGTAAAGTATATTTGATTGCAAAGAAACCTAATTGTTGATAAATAAAAAATTTACCTTTAAAAGTGTTTTTCTTCTCATCAGTCCGCAAACAGTATGCTATATTCTATGCTGCATAATATATTATATAGGCGCCAATATCCAGAAATCGACCACGGATAGTATAGTTCCTGCAATTCACGAGTGCGATCGACCTTTGGATATGGTTCGACATGTACATACATAGTGTGACAGTTAGAAGAAAGAAATTAAAAGAGATTTAAGATGTTCATCGGTTAATTTAGATCTGTAAACATTCTTTGTGTATTTAACCTTTGAAAACGTTTTCTCACACAAGTAAGTAGTACCAAAAGCAGAAAACAACCTACGAGCAAATTTATGCGAATTATCAAATTGTACCAGTGGAAGATTTTATAAAATTCCAACAAACATGAATTTTGATATTTGTTCTTAATCATATCACTCATAGAATACCATAATACATAACATAAGTATCACTGCAATGTAAATCAATAATTTACATTTGGACTGCCGGAGCCAGTGTTTCAATGTCAGAATCTAAAATTTTGAAAAAACTTAACCACTATCAATTTTATGCGCAATGACATAAAAGTCTGAGAAACGAGTATCAAAATTTATTTTTAAAATTAAGATTGCAAAATCGGCGGGAAATTCAGTCCATGTAGTGTGGCTGAATATTTCAAATGGTTTCATATGCGTGAAACATTTATTACGTAATTGCGATTGAAATAGTATTATTTTGCTGCCTGAAGGTTTTGATATTGGTGTATAAATCAGGGAGAAGCTGATTTTCTCCTTGCAATTTCAAATTCAGTTCGATCATATTATGATTTGTCAAATCGACATATAATGCTAACTTCCAAGGCCATTCACTATTTCCTTAATCGGCAAAAGGGCGATGCTTCTCATTCAAAAAAAATTCTATCTCTGCTCGAAGTTCAAAAAAGCGTTTAAGGACTTCCGCAACTAAGCCAGCGTACGACAGTATGATATGGTAAGTCATTTTCTCTAATCTCTTCAATAAACTTGCGGAATTTTCGGTGATTCAGCCCAGTGGCAGATCCATTGATGAAGTTAACAACTGATATGACTGGTTTTAGAACTTCAGACATATACAAACAATTTCCGCACAAGGACTATTGATGAATGAAACAATGTAAGACTAATGATTTTGAACCATCATAATTTTCTACAGCCTTTGGCACAAGTGCAACCACTCCTTTATTTTTACCACACACATTTTTGCCTCTATCAGTAGTGATATGTTTCAAGTTTTTCCATCAAAGGTTCTTTTTATTAACGTGATTTTCAATTCCCTTAAAAATATCTGCCCCAGTTGTCGTGTCGTGAACGTTATTTATTACTTATTACTATTAATATCAAGAAGTTCTTTATACACTTCAAAGCTTTCATCTACTCCTCGAAAAAAAATCGACACCTGAGCAGTATTTGACACATCCGTTGACGCGTCCAAGGCTGAAGAAAACAACTCAAGATGTCCATTTTTGTCAGACAGTTATGATATATTTTCTGCGATGTCTTGCACCCTCCGAGCTACGGTGTTTGCTGACAAACTGGCACTTTTAAATAAATTTACCTTTTCGGGGCATATTTCTTCGCCTACCTACCAATCAAGCATTCTTTTGTCATTTCTCCATCAGTGAATGGTTTTCCGCGTTTTCCGATTTCAAGAGCCACACAATATTGGCGCGAGTTGCAGACTCTTGTACGCTTTAATAAACAAAGATTGCTGCGATTTCAGTCCAATTCTGGCAACTATCCCTTCTATGGGGGAGGCCTATGTTCAGCAATGGAAATATTAGCACAATAAATAATAGTACCACGTACATAGTATTAGTAAGGTTAAGTGTTACCAAATTTCTTAAAAAAATTCATATCTGCTGCAAACCGCCAATTGACGTAGCTGAAGGTCAGAATTTTAATAAGAAAGAGAATACTTAGTTTGTTTTATGAATGGCTGCAAATATTTTCGCCGGAAACTGCTCTTTTGTCGCTATTGTGATAATAGGTCCGGCGATAGTTAAATCAAGAATGTAATGTATAAAATTGTCATGTCCAATTATGAGTCAATTTCAAAAAAAAATTACGTAACACAAAATAAACACAATGGAATTTGTTACACAAAAGAAGATATGTTCTTTCATCATTTCATGTCATTTATTAAGCAGTATTCATATGGAATACTTGGAAAATAAAAACACCATTATTCATTTTTAAATACTTTTCCGGATTTTCTACAAGAGAAAGTTGGGGGAGGGAAGCACCACGCCACTCAACGTAGCACGTCGAGGGTAGCCCAGTCGACGGAAATAATAAATAAACATTAATATGTGATATTTTTTTCATTTCCAAATGTGCGTTTTTTGTGTAGTATATATATATATATATATATATATATATATATATATATATATATATATATATATATATATATATATAATATATATATATACAAACATCGTTTAATGCTTTGCAAAAGAGTTATGAACGATTATATTCGAAGAAGTGCGTTTATGATCACCCGGATTTAAAGTCATAAAACTATATGAAATCTTCAAGTGAGACATTTTCCATATTTTTTTTATAAATCCGCCATAAAAACGAATATTTTAGAAAAATATTATCGAAATCGGACGATTTTTCGATTTTCTAAAGCCAAAAAACGAGGGGACCGCGAAAGTATAAAATTACCATAAGAAAGTACCTAAACGAACGAAAGAAGGCAAAAACGAAGATAAAAACATAACCCTTTAAAGAAAATACAGAAAGAAAAACTTGCACTACGTTTGTATAAAGAGGTCGTGCTTATCCTTTCGCCAGTAATTATATAACGTAAATTACAAAACTTAAAATCTAAGAGCAACAGAAACTATTAACAGATGTCGATGTCCTCTTACGAATTCATTAACTTTTTTAAGTTATCCCGCTGAAACAAATAAATTGAGCCAAATAAGTTTTTTTTAAACCCTGTATTTTTTTTACTTATTCTATAACCTATGCGGGCGTGCGCACAACAACTCACCAACATTTTAACGTAACCGCATTACTGGTATAGAAGCGCATACCGGAACAAACATACAAACATAATTTTTATATACATAAAAAACAATGTGTACAGAGCTTAAGGTTTGTTTTTGTGTAACGTAACATAATGTCACCCAAAAGTAATAAAAATACTTGTGACAAAAGTAACAAAAAATTCTAGGAAAAAAAGTATAACGAATTTTACAAATCGAACTGTAGCAAATGTTAGATGTTTAAATTATTTATTACAGTAAGAAATATAATAATGCAAAACACTAAACTTAGCAGAATTATTTGCGATCACTTGGAGGGGAATTTTTTTACTGACGAAATTCGTGTGAGGCGCTCACAGTGTGACTGATACCAAAATATGATGGCTGCCACATTTTCTTGTAAATTTGGTAGTAGATCAAATGTTGCCAGACCTATGAAAGTTACTAGAGCGTTCCAAATATCTACATTAACACATTCAGTGCCACCGACTCGCCCGGAGAGTTCACGTAAATCTTATTCCAGTGCTGACGACTCGTCTGGCGAGTTCAGTGTTTTTCACTAATATTTCCAAAATGCATCCGTATTTTCTGCTTAAAATTATAGTTTAGACTAAATATATGCTAAACTAAAGATTTACGTGGTGGGCCGGGTGTGGAGACCACGTTTAAATTTGAAAGGAAACAAACTGATTAACTTTTTTATGAGTGTATCTGTGTTAAAAAAACAAACTGACATAATATTTGCGTTTCGTTATATGTAATTTAATTAATCAAAATCAAGTACCGGATGTCTAGCCAACTCGATATAACCTCACTTTAACTATCGATATCTCGAAAAATAAAGATTTCCGGCATAAAAAGCAGCTAAATGGTAATCAATAGCATCATTGCCTGTCCACTAAAGCTGAAATAGTCACTTAAATCGTGCAGCAGATTACTAAAGCCGACCCA